ATCCTTAATGTGGAACCTCTCAACATTAACTATTCCATGGTGGAACCAAACCAAAGAGACCTAGAGGACTTCACCTCTATGGTACCTTCGTCTGGTCTAATTGAGTCTAAAGATGAGAGCATAGACTTTGAAGAAGCAAGGGAAATGGAATGCCTCTTAGAAGAAAAGTTTCCAGATGATGAATGGACCCCACTTATCTACAACTCCAACAAAATTTCCTTCTTTTACAACTTTCACGAGTATGGGGGACTGTGTCTTAGTAATGAACCAAACACTATTATTCACCCCACTATTAAGATACGATATGTGAGAAAAGAGATTAACTTGGATTTCCTTCCTTGGCTGGATGGTTAGACTTTGTGGATTTTCAAGCAACAGTAGAGCGAAATGCAGAATATTTTGAACTCTAGAGTTGCCTTTGAATTGAGCACCAAAGGCACATCTCATAACCTTTCTTTCTCACTTGGAGAGCTATATAGACCATGGATGATTCAGCCTTAAACAAAGTTCTACCCGCAATACTTTGTTTCCAAGCCTACAATTCACTTTTTCTGCAAAAGGCAAGGAGAAGTTGCCTTAGTATGATCTTGACAAATGCCATGATTGTTATGCATGCCATCATACGTCCCAGCCTCTCTATCTTGCTGGTGAAAAGCCTAAATAACTACCTCCAACCTTGGGTCGATGTTTCATCACCTATCCTCTCTCTTCCAAGGTCAAGCCTACACCATTCAATGTTGTTTATGTTAGACAATGCATATACAAATGTTATTCCCCTTATAATGTTACTTTCCATATCTTTTTGCCTAAGAATATAATATTTTTGTGCAAAAAAGTGTTTAGGCTATCATACCCTTAGGACCTTCTACATCATCTGCATCTTTACCACCCTCAACTCCACCTATACCAAGCTCTACACTATTGAAAGGAAGTTCAACAAACAATTGTCTTGCCTCAAAATTGAACTAAGCTTTGAAAAGGATGATGTCTTGGACTAGCATTTGCTAGTGCTAAAAAGGGAGAGTGATTAATGTTTTTGTTTGATTAATTTGTTTAAATTTTTGAGGTTTTAAACTTTTGTTTTGCTCTAATTTATTTTAAGTTCCTTTTAAACAACATGCTTTGACAATATGCATTATATGCTATGTTTTTATGCAAATTATATTCATTAGATCATGCACGTTTTCAGGGGAAGTCCCTTATGCATTGCGTCAAGCATCTAAGGTAGATTCATATAATCTAATCATATATGCTTTGGCATCCAAAGTAGAAATATATGCTTTGATATATAGCATATGCTTTGATAATCTTCAATATACTTTGACATGCTTAATAAGAAACAGATAAAAAATAAGCACGCTATGTTATATCTATCTTGTATGCTCTATTTTAGCTCTGAAATATGAAGACTAGTTCACATAGAATCTATATGCTTCGATTTAGCTATAAAATGTGAAGAGTAGTTCCCATAGAATGTGTATGCTCACTTAGTCTAATATAATGGTTTAGTCTATCTCAAAAAACTTTTCAAATGATGATAGATCTAAGTAATTGTGAAACAATATATGTCTTTAAGAGAATGTACTCTCAAAAAATCAATTTGCTTAAGTTATCTTACAATGTCTTTGATATGGGCCTTACATCACTTTGATAAAAATATGTTTAAATTGCTTATGTGCTTTTTGAGAAAAATGTTTCAAGAAATATTGAAAAACTTTTCACTCTTTCATGGTTTAAGAAAGGTAAGAATTTTTAAGAAAAACATATCTTTGAAAGTTGACAACTTTTCAAGAAGACAATAATCCCTTCGTCTTATCAAAGAAAAAGTTATTTTCAAGCACAAAAAAAAGATAGACATTTCAAAAATACAAAAACGTATTTGTCACCATCAAAAAGAGGGAGATTATTAAGTCAAAAGACGATCTAGATCCCTTAAACTCAAAGTTTTCATGCTAACAAACAAAATGTTTTAATAAAGAAGAAATGTCTGCAAAATGTCTTTGAAAAATATATTTGATAAACTTATCAGATGAAATGTAAGACATAGATCGTTTGTGAGACATTATAATTCAGACAAAGTATACAATCTATCTCATATACAAATTTTTATTATTTATTGAGACTAACGATAAAGTTTATTTTGAATATTTTATTCCTTAACAGAGTAAACCAAAAAGTCATCTTGGAACCCACAAATATGTTAAAGAGAAGAACCATGATTTTTGTTAGAACCAAGATCCTTGAAATCATGGAGAAAAACATATAAAGTCACTATTGCAGTTGCTCTGCACTAACATTGCTTCTACAAGCTCTATTTGGTATGGAAAGTTGATAAGTACCCTCCTTGATCAGATAAAAGGTACCATTTGATGAAATGCATTTGATGCTCGCATTAAATGAGCCAAACAGTCACATACCATCACAAGGAACGTATATACAACACTAATATATATCAACACATCTTCCCTACACCTATAACAATATCAACATATAGCATCACAAAACAACCAACATATATCAACATGAACAACTTTGTCTACTACAACACAATATTGACTTGAACATCACTACATCCACAACTCAAATTTTTCATCACAATAACCTAGTATATAAAACACAACAACTACATGTGTCATAACTCATTTCAACTAGGAGATCTCATATAACACAGGATAAGTAGTTTAAGTGGCTTGATCCTACCAAACCAACAACCCAAGGTGATCTTTTTGGCTTTCTAGATCAACAACAAATTAGATATCAATCCACAACAAAGTAACTTGGTTTCTCAGATTTTGCCACTTAAACAAAGAAGTCTAGTACTATTGTTAGGGTAGAACAACTAGGTATAGGCCTACCATGACATTAGCTAGATTAACTAAGCCTCTTATGGGATTAGCTTACCAACTACCATCCAAATATTACACCTTTCCGATACTCGATTAGGAACTAAGTTTTGGACTTTGTACTTTACTTAATTGGTCACTTGTAATTAGTATAGTTTGACCTTACCTCTATAAGATGATCGCTTTATACACATGTGCCTTGACCTTGTCCACATATAGTACCAACTATGATCCTAAAGGAAACTCAATTGTCTTCTTCATGGGTCAACTTCCTAAGAAAGATTTTTCAACAAATTAGGCATTTAGAGTACTACAGCACAATATCCACACAATGAGATATGAAACTTTATAAACAACCTCTCCTTTAGTCATAGGTTGGTCATCATAACTCAACAACATCATGCCTAAATGCCTAAAGCATTCTCAACATTCATCATATCAACAACACAGTAACATCATGCATATAACATATTCAACATAGCTACACAATCACACAACCTGCAACTTAACTCAACTTTTAACTAGTAACTCACAACATACTCATCAACATACAACATATTAACTTTCAACATACATATTTCATTATCATACAACATCATCAACATAACATATTCATCACCATTTATCCATAAAACAAATCAAACAACAAATGTTCAACATACAACTCATTCATCAAGCAAGCAACCAACTCAATTAGAGAAGAAAATTATTTGACCAATTTCCCATGTTAAGTGTGAAACCCATACTTAGCCTCAACCTCCTAGAAGCACACCTAAGTCCTTATGCTAAGTGTGAAACTCATGAATAGCCTCAACCTTCTAAAGGAACATCCAATTCTCACACTAAGTGTGAAAACTCACACTTAGCCTTGGCTTCCCAAAGGCACATCCTAGTTCTCACACGAAGCATGAAACTCACACTTAGCCTCACAAACCCATAAATGTCTACATAGTTGAAGAACATCCCAACAACTATGAACACAACCTAATCTCCAAAATCCTTTTAGCTTATACAATAATACATGCATGCAACCTCAAAATCTTCCAATTATAACAACATGCAACATAGAAATCGAAAAAAAGAAACATACATCAACAACACATCAAGTAGATTGTTAAATTCTCAATCTTTCACCAAGAACACCAAAAACCCCAATTCCCATTTGTAACCCATTCTGATTTGATTGACACAACCATGAATCATTAAGGAATTCACATAACATACAACTCATACATCACTACACAACTCAACTACTTAATGAAAATAAAAAATCTAGCTCCATTTACCTCAAGGTCTCCTAATACGTGAGAGAAAAGGAGGAAGAAGAAGAAAGCTTCACAAATCTTCACACTGACACCCTAAAAACAAATTTTCACCCTTTAAGCCTAAATCTTTGCTTAAGAATCTAAGAAGAAAGGGAGGTTTCAAAATTCTTAGAGCTCCTCACACTACTCTCTCTCTAACCCATATGAAAAAATGAACTAATGAAGCTCATTTCTAAAGAAAGGTCTTAAATGTCTTTCTCCTATAGGTCTAACTTAACCTCTTCTCAAAAACACTTTTAACAACAAAAACTCAAGGAATTTTACCAAATTCTCGAGCTTCTCAATACAACAACATATAATAAATATAACTACAACTTACAGTGTTACAGATGTAGAACCTAAGTTATTAAGTGAAGTAAGTTTATCAAAACTTATTTTTAGAATAAGATATTCCTCATATGTGTGTGTATGAGAGAGAGATACATGTGAACTTGTATGTAAAAACTATCGAATAATTATGATATTTAAAATAAATTATTATATCCTCTAATTACCACTCACTTTATTATTTTTCATTGTTTTCTTAATTTAGAAGTCCATTAATTTGCCTCTTTCCTACCAATAATATATTATTCATATACAAACATTTATAATAAATTAATCTTTGATTATTAATTTTGAGAGACCAGGTGACATATCTGTGGACTAAAATAAAGTTAGTAAATATGAGACTAAAAGTTGTTAATTTAAATTATTTGAAACTTTCGCTTCTTAATTAAATAAAGGAGTTAGATCCCTATCTTTTTATATAAAGTCCTAACTAATCACTATACAATTGTTACGTTAAAAATTGGAAGAAATATATTTTATTAGTTTTACTTAATATATAATGGGTTCCCCTGCACCTGGCTACACCATCACCTAGTCCCAAAGTGAACCCATTTGCTTTGCCGATACTTCCAACAGAGCAGAAACACCAAGGTTTCTCCTAAAACTCCACTCATCTCTCTTTTTTCTCTTTCTATTGATAGATATTTCTGGATCAATATCACTGTGTTGCGTTGCGTTGGGCTGCGAAAGATGTGAGAATTTGAGAGCCATTTAAGTTTTTGCTGGTGTTCATATTTTGCAGCAACTTCCTTCTTCCAGATATTTAGAGGTATGTACTTTTCTTCTGCATCTTTTTTGCCAATTTCTAATTGTTGAATGGTGAATTCAGCTCCATCTCTTACCAGATTCAAATTACGCTTGTATAAACTTTCCCAAAAGTTTGTTTCATTTTAGAGAAGAAAATTAAACAAATAAATCAATTTCTTCAACAGGCTAAAGGCTAATGCACAAGTTAAAATTGATTTATATATAAGTTCATTTATAAAATCTTTTATATTAACTTCACAAACTTTTTAATTTATCTTTTTTTCTTTCTAGTGTTTATGAAAAATCATTTTCAAACAAGCCTTTAGTATTTGTGGGTTTTTAAGTTTGGAAATGGATATACTATTATAGATATATTTAGATAAGCTTCTTTAAAAATATTTTTTTTTTAAAAAAAAGAAAAAATTATAAGAAAAAAAAATATTTAGTTGGGTAGCAAATAAAAGGCATGAACACATTATTTAGAATAGTGTTCCAGCGCAGTGCGAAGTGAAATAAATACCCTTTCTCTCTCAGATTTCGTAGTTGTGGCTTCAACTTCTGTTGCTATTTTCTGGTCATATACCTCTTCATCAAAAAGTTGACCAAAATGTCAATTCACTCCTAAAAGTTAATATAGTCGTTGGATTTTGCTTTCATTATTATGAAAAGTAAATTTAATTCCTGAAGTCGATCACATTCAACTTATTTTTTTTATTACAGTATAAAAATATAAGTATTAATTTGAAAACCAAATTAATTTTCAAAATATATTAACGAACTGAATTGATTTTTTTTTTATATTTAAAAATATAAAAAAAATTATAAAAATAGTCAAAATATAGATCAAATTTAGGTCTTCATGCTTGTACCCTAATTCTTTTACTCTTAATTACAAGATTAATTCTAATGGTTCAATTAATGATATTTGTTTTAAATATATAAACAAAATTAATCTACCAAAATAAACAATCAATTAATATTTATTTATTTTTAGAATAACTTGATCACTTAATATTATTAGTTTTGTATTCCTTACCAATTACGATGTTTCTAAATAAAGAGAAGTTTTACGTGAATAATTTTCAATTTTCTTATTACATTTTTCAATTAATCTTTTCTGTTTATTAGATGAAGAAAGTATTAAACATCTTTTATAGTTATATTCAAGTTTATAAGCTACCGTAAGTTGAAGGCCTGATTATAAGTTAGGTAATAGAATTAAAAATTTGATAAAATTTTATATAATGTAAACTGATATAAACGGACATATTTATATAATTTGTTCAGGACTTTTATTTTTATTTTGAAGGAAAAAAATATTTTTAGAGTACTATGTATAGTTTTTTTTTTTTTCATTAGTTTAAAATTCTTATTAATATTTTAAAAATCAAACATTTTATTAAAAAAATTAATAATTAAAAGAAAGTGTATCATATGAAAAATAACTCGAAAAAAGTAAAAGAAACAATAATTAAAATAGTAAGAGATGAGACTGGAGGGAAAGTCCTAGAGAGATGAAAGGAGTTGTGTAACAACTATTAAGAAAAAGAAAGGATAAAAGAAATAAATTAAAATAATAAAAATAAAGTTGAAATAATAAAGAAGTTATAAACTTAAAAACTATAAGTCATATGCGAATTAGTTTATAGTTTATTTGCTATAAAATAATAAAATAAGTGTGCATATGTACCAAATATCTTAATTTAGTGAATGCGGGTAACCCTAGTTGAAGGGTAGAGACTAATATCACAGTATTGTAATATATATATATATAAACACTCTCCAAACAAAATCTTAGTAAATTCGAAACTGTTGATTCAACATGGTCAATAAATTCTACTATCCAAGAGATTAAATATATTTAATTTTTACATTTAATATTCTTATAAATTGTATAGCGATATCTTTCTATGCACAAGTGGTACCTCCAAATTCAATTAAAACTATTTTATTATAATCTTAATAATTTGTTGACTTAATATATATAACTTTGTTATCATATAATTTATACGCATCAATGTTATATTAATCCACAGATCATCAATTTTCTCAACCCTTGCCTTCTTTTTTGTCTCTTTCCAACACTCCCAAAAGTTGTAAAAGTTTATTTATTTTAAAATAGAAAAAAAAAAGGACTATAGAATTTCTACTTATTGAAATTGTGTTTGGTTTATTCCTTTTTATAACAATTTGATTTATTATCAACCACAAGGACAATATATCAAATGATATTAAGTGTCAAAATTAGAAAAACGATACCTCTAATAACTTTTTATTAAAAAATAATATCAATTTAGCCGTTACATTTAAAAATCTTTTATAAAGTAGGTTAAATCTATAAAATTTTATATAATTCGGTGTCAAGTTTTTTTTATTTTATATATATATATAATTTTAGAATTAATTGCTACTTTATTACTCTACTTAATTTTTGACATGTGATATACTATTTATACATAAAAGAATCTATTTAGTAAGAAACTTTTTATACTAGAGCAAAATTAATAAATATTATTCATTAGATCATGTCAATATAACCAATTCTCTTAACTTAATAATTGTAAAATATGTCCTAAAATATAAGAAGTCGACTTAGTATTTTTATATTCAATTTATGTAAATATTAAAATAATATTTGATGAAAAAAATTATATTTTACAAATATAGATTAAGATTATCTTAATTATATGATATAAATATATTTCCCTCAATGTATATATATATATATATATAATCAACTGAAGCCTGATACCGTCAATGGACTTGTTTCTATTTCTTGATTTTCTATTTTTATTTTAATTGTAGTCATTGGAGGATATTCTGAAATAATAATTTTATTATCTATTTTTTTCCAAGTCTTATTGGTTTTTCTTAAAGGATTTATTGATTTAATAATATTATTTTCTTTACAATAATTTTTTAACCAATCAAAGAAATAAATATTAATTTCATTTTCTTCCATATATATATATATATATATATATATATATATATATATATATGTGTGTGTGAAAGCATATAAAATGATTGTAAAAGAATATTTTGTAAGAAACATAGAGAAATGGGCGCTAGTCAAGTCAAGAGATTGAACGGTGGTAATGAAGATTTTTCTATATCGTGGAATAATTTTAGATGATAGGGTGATGGTGGCAAGTTGGCACGGACGTACCTTTTGTGATGGTTAATTAAATTCACAAATAAGTAAGTATTCCTCTTCAAATTGGAATCACATATATTTATGTCTCTTTCAAGTCATTTTGGTCGGATTTCTAAGATTCCATTCAAGTGTTTGTTGCTACGTTACGAGTTACAAATTCATGGCCAAGCTTCCTTGTCATTCTTTTGGGTTTGATATACATGCCTTTCTAAACCCTAGGTTTGATATGTCTCTTCACCACGTGGAATGCTATTGTTGCTTCATACCTTCAGAATGGACGTGCTCTTCACTTAGCTTCAATTATTGTGAGTAGGGTAAAATTAATGGGGTGGAATTTACTTTTAGATAAAGCTTACATATACTATACATACACTGTTTTTTCTAATTAAAAATGATTTTTTTACTTGAGATATTATCCATAATATTTTTAGTATTTATAGATAAATTTTATCTTTTTTTTCTCTACCTTTGGTACCTAAAGGAGATTAAGTCCTATAATTGATTGGGAACTCTCCTTTAAAAAAACAAAACAAAATAAAATATAAGTGTTAAAATAGAATTAAAGTTCCACATCATTAATAAAGGAGAAGAAATATAAGCTTATAAAACACATATTCTCTATTATTGGTATGAGGTCTTTTAATGACGAAAAAAAAAATAAATTCGAAGATCTAAGTCTAGCGGATATATAATATGAAGACGAATGTGAATGTTCTCTATAAAAAAAAATATAAAAAAAAACCGAATACAAAATATAAAAACATCTCATCAATAAGAACATTTGCAGCACAATTGTTTGTCCGAGGTGCTTAATTGTAGACAATGGTTAATAAAATATATAGATTCATGTTGAGAAAGAAATAAATGAACATTAATGAAGGAGAGAGAAAAATGAACTAATAAATAAATAATTTTATCTAATTTAAGTAACTTATGATTTTGAAGGAGAAATGTACTTAATTGTAATATGGTATGTAGGACCCAAAAAAGTCACCATCTCTAATGAACACTGAAATTGCTGACTAAGCTACACCTCCATTTTCTTAATTTTTCATATTGACTTTTTCATTGTTTTTTATACAAGATTTACTCTTTTCATAAAATATGTTACATATATCATGAAATTTTTCATTAACATAAAATGATAAAAGGAAAAAAAAAGTGTATATTAAAGTAAGAGCCAAAATTTATAATATCACATAATATTCAGAAAATAATCACAATAATATGCAGGCTTTGGAACTCAAAAAAGTTACATGACGAATCACCTTGCTTTCTGTGATCCAACCCAAATAATTGTGCATTTTGTTACTTTATTTGTAAAGTTAAGTGCTTAATTGTGTGCTCAAATGAAAGGAAAAAGGTAATATCGTTTTATATTTCCACTATGGAATTAATGTAGTCCTCTGGATTCTTCATTGTACCCATCCAAGTTTTGCACCGAAAATGTCTCCTTTTACTGATGCCATGATTCTCTTGTCACCCTCTTTATTCTTTTCTCTCTCTCTCTCTCTCTATCTGCATATGATAATCTATTGGACAAGGAACGTTCAGTGCTTAACTTATAATTATTCCTAAAGTCATGTTCAAAGGTCAGGAAATGAAGCACGTTGATTCTTTTACACATGCTTGGAAGAATGTGTGCCTAAAGCATTGCATTAAGTAGTGCTCTATCACCCCCCCCCCCCCCTGCTGCCATCACGATTTTAAAATATGGTTTTGATTGTGCTATGATTTTCAAAATTATGTGAAATATTGCAGGTATAAGTATTCAAAGAACTATTATGCACCACAACACAACATAGTATTTATCTAACTGATGATGGGATCTTTTCTTCGAATTGTACAATTCATTTGATTCCTTTGTTGCATGATTTCAAACTTTCATTAGTTACTTGTGACCTGCTTTGCACTATGTGGATATATTATATTGTATAATGCTACTTGGAATCTGCACAAGAAAGTAACGGTTCTGTTTCCCCCTCTGACTAGACTTGTTCACTTTGTTAAAGGAAAAACGAGGCAAGCTTTTGACTGGGGAAGTTGATTGAATGGCAAAAGTTTGTTGGCCATATTTTGATCCAGAGTATGAGAACTTCAGCAACAGAATCAACCCTCCAAGGTTCACTGTTATCTTCTATTGAATTACAATTTACCTTTTTTTTCTATGATCTTCAACTTATGTAGGAGAAAACACAGAGAGAAAAGGAATATTAATATCATCAATGAAAAATCCAAGTCTTGGCATTTATGGATATTTAGACTTTGGATTTTCCAGTGTAGCTTAACTGCTTTCAATCAAACTCAGTAAAAAGAAAAATAACAGTGCAACATAACCATAGTGTAATCCAATCACAATCCACATAAATGATAATAATGTTTCTGAGTGGATGTAAAACTTTTTACTGATCACAATTAAATTCTAGAATTAAAAGCTTCAGTAATTCTTAGCTAGTCTTTGTTATAAGGAAGATGTCATCAATTTAATCCACACTATATAGTCAGAGATTAAACAACACCCTTTGGAATTGGGATTTATGGTGGGAATTTCTAATACCCGGAAGAAGTGACTCTTTGATGGTAACTCTGTTTCCACTTCGCAGGGTCTCTGTGGACAATGATAGTTGCCATGATTGTACACTGATCAAGGTATAATTTCTCAAAATGATTGATTATGATAATGATATTTATCATGGCCTCGTTGTGAGTCATGATTTGGAAGCAGAGCATCGTAGAAAACCAACCTACACCATGTGAATTTTTAAAGTTACTTTAAAACTATTTGCCCTATTTTTTCAAGCCACACTTGATTTAACTTTATTCTTATTCTTATGAGCCAGTTGAGACTTTGTTATCCCTCACTCAATTCTCTGACCATGAGTCAAAAACTTTAGCCGAATTTCATTTGACTAGAAGATCATTCTTAATCCACCCACCCACCTGTGGTAACACTTTCTTGGTTGCATTTGATTAGAAACTCTTGTTTAGCAATATTTTCTTCTTTGTTCCACTTTGAATGTTTGTACAGGAAAATTAGTTGCAAATTTTAATTGAAAAGCTTATTGAACAGACATAAGTTCTATTAAATTCGCATTAAGTCGATTGCTAAAAGATTAAAAACATGTTTATATACAAGTTTAGAAGTGTTTTTAAGAACTTATTTTCTGGAAATAAGTTATTTTCAGTAGACAAGCTCTTAAAAACACTTTTAGTTTGTATCTAAACAAACTCTAAGTTATTCGAAATATTAGACTTTCCCAAGTGACTTTCATCATCAGATATGAGTTGATGCAATATCTAATGGATTTTTTTTTTCATAAAAAAATATGCAGTTTGATAGTATCAACAAACCTGGAATTCTGCTGGAAGTGGTTCAAATCCTGACAGATCTTGACTTCATAATTACCAAAGCTTACATATCTTCTGATGGTGGATGGTTTATGGATGGGATGTTCGTGATTGAAACTTGAATCGGGAATGCATTGACTACACAGTTGTGTTATGTTCGTGATTGAAACTTGAATCGGGAATGCATTGACTACACAGTTGTGTCCTGTCCTTGCTTGTTGTTAGTAGCCTAATTAAAAGCTGGTAATTATTGAGAACATTGATTGCTACTAAGATGCTCTTCATTCTTCATTATTTCTAGTTTTCTCTTGACTACCTATGTATGAATATGTCCATGAGGTATAAGGAAAATTCATTTAGTAAAGTACTTGGACAGAAAACAACATACTTTAGTTCTTATAGACATATTTACTAAAACATTGTCTTGTACATAAAAAAATTTAGATGAATTTTTAGCAAACCATTCTGTTTTATCCTAACGCATTCCCTATTCAAACAAGTTCTTAACATGTTTACCTAATGGAACAAACAGTATTTCATGTCACGGATCAACAAGGAAAGAAGATAACGGACAGCCAAACAATTGACTTCATTGAAAAGGTATTCATCTTTCTCCTCTATATCTGATATATTCTTATAGTTATATAAATATATAACGTGATAGCAATCTAACAACCATGTAAAAATGAACCAATTAAAATTGTAATGTAATAAATTGAAGAATTATTCATGGTTACCAAACATCACATGGCATCTAGAGAGAAAAAGAGAGAAGTGTAGGTATAATAGGTGATGTGATGTGATAAGAAGAGAGATAGAGAGATAGAGAGAAATAATAGGTGTTTATATATCCGTCTAAATTGAAATAGCATAATAGATTTAAGAGCTACTTAAATGGAGCATTGTATTTAAAATAAGTTTTATGTCCTTAGGAAAGTAACCATACATGACTGCCAATTCTTATTTTGTTCTTTGTAAAAGCATCAATAGTAGTTTAAACCAAATACTTGGTTTACTCCATATTCAAAAGAATCAAAATCAGATATGACCTGCACCCTTCTCTCATATTTGAGTCTCCAATGCAGTTCCAAACTTGGAGAGAATTTATGAACTCACCTAGTAACTTCCTCACTTGATCTCTAGTAGTGAATTTGCTTAATTAAATCATAAGAAACAATTGACCAGGTTGATGCTAGAAGCTACCTCCTGATCAGAATTGCACCCTTGCTGTAACACAGCACAACTACATAATAAACACATCAAATACTGGAAAAATTAGGTGATCCTGATCACATAATCTCTAACTAATCTCTACTTGATATGTAATCAAGTCTTACAATATGTTTAAATACAAGTCTAGAAAAGCTTTTAAGAACTTCTCTACCAGAAAATACTTTTTATTTTAAGTAGAGAAGTTTTCAAAAGCCTTTTTAGACTTTATCCACATAGACTCTTATAACTTTCTCTGGTAGATTAAAAGACTTAAATGCTAATCATATAGTGATTGGCAGGGACAATGGACGCTTGTGGTCCTGAACTATCTAATAATGCTTCAAATACTGAGTGCTATTTGTTAACATTAAAACAGGTTCTAGGACCAAAGGGCCAGAACACAGAAGGAGTGAAGAGTTGGCAAGGAAAAAGGGTTGGAGTGCACTCAATTGGTGATCACACAGCCATTGAGCTCATTGGTCGAGACCGCCCCGGCCTCTTGTCTGAGATATCAGCAGTCCTTGCCAGCCTCCAGTTCAATGTGATTGCAGCTGAAGTTTGGACTCACAACAGGAGAATAGCTTGTGTCCTTTATGTCAATGATGCTACAAACCAAGCCATGGATGACTCAAAAAGATTGTCTATTATGGAGGAGCAGCTCAACCACATCCTACGCGGGTGTCAGGATGATGAGAAAGTGGCTAGGACCAGTTTCTCAATGGGTTTCACTCACATGGATCGGAGGCTCCACCAAATGCTATTTGCTGATAGGGACTATGAAAGTGCTGGAGTAACAACAACAACAGATGTTGATTGTGCTCCTTCTTTTAGGCCTAAAATCAGAATAGAACGCATCGTGGAGAAAGGTTACTCGGTGGTTAGTGTGAGATGCAAAGATCGGGCAAAATTAATGTTCGACATTGTTTGCACTCTCACTGACATGCAATATGTTGTCTTCCATGCTACAATCTCATCCGAAGGGCTTTATGCATCCCAGGTACACATCATTTGTTAACAATAATATCCATTCTGTACTTTAGCTTACCAATCACACAAAGGTACACTTGTCATTTAACTTTTTTAGCTTGCTCAATTGATCTGCCAACCCAAATCTTAAGGGTGTAAATGAAAATAATTTGTGAGAAACCGCAAAGTTGAAATAATTCATACAAGGAAGTAATAGAGAAATGAGTTTAATTTCTGTACATTGCATTCAATTAAAATTCATAGTAGGTATCACTTCTAATGTAATTATTATAAATATTAACAAAATAACAATAATGAATGATTTGTGATTATATGATAAACTATACATACATGATAATATGTGATTAAATGATAGTAGTACATGATATATACTCTTGGGAAAGTTCGAAATAGACCAATTTGAGAAATGTAGACTAAAAATGTTGATGTGGCAATGTTAGGAGTACTTTATACGGCACATGGATGGGTGCACGCTTGACACTGAAGGAGAGAAAGAAAGGGTCATCAAATGCATTGAAGCTGCTATTCAAAGAAGAGTTAGCGAGGTAATGTACATTGTGCAGTTTAAAATTGATTCTGTATGCTTCTTTAAACCATACCAAAGACCAGAAGTCGGGGATGAACTTCTGGTTCTCAACATAGTAAGTTCTTTGATTTCGTGAGATGGTTTCCCAATGATCTTTATTATAACAAGTGACTTAATTTTCTCTTGACCCCCTTACTTCTTATGAGGCCCCGATCTACTACTTTTCTTTTCCGCTCATTTCTTTCTTTCCCTCTTTCTTTCTCTACATCAGAAAGTCTTCTGAGTTTAACCCAATTAATACATTTTGCACCTGCAGCTATCTACTTGTATTGTTGCGAATGGTACGACAGATATATGGGGCTAAGTTCCACTCAGATTGTATGTGACCATCATATCCACCTAATCAATCGGTGACAGTGATGGTCTTTTCTTTTGTCTTCAATAGAGCATTAGAGCTTAAGAACCTATATACTCCACGTAATATCATCTCATCCACATCCCTATAACCTTAAAAGTTAAACTAAATAAAGGGAAAGTTTTCTTTGCTCTGTTTTTATCATATACAAATTGAGTTTATGTGACAAAATGTCACTATCAGCCATATATGCTATAACATCATACAATTAATTATGCATCCCTGTTTGATTTTGTCCATACATCTGATTATGAGTTTTATATGTATGTATATATACTAGGCGTAAAATTTACATCGTCCACCAGTCAGAATCAGAATTCCTTATCAGTATGATTTTTATGTTATATCATGAATTAATAACTACATTCTATCTAAAAAATAAATAAAAAATCCCAATTGTGTAAAACATTTTATTCTCATAAATAGGACCAATGTGATATTTATATAAGATTTCTCTTTCTCATTTGGAAGCAAGTCTTTGAGAGACTTTAATTGATTCATAATGTATGTTTTTTCTTTGATTTCGTGAGATGGTTTCCCAATGATCTTTATTATGACAAGTGACTTAATTTTCTCTTGACCCCCTTACTTCTTATGAGGCCCCGATCTACTACTTTTCTTTTCCGCTCATTTCTTTCTTTCCCTCTTTCTTTCTCTACATCAGAAAGTCTTCTGAGTTTAACCCAATTAATACATTTTGCACCTGCAGCTATCTACTTGTATTGTTGCGAATGGTACGGCAGATATATGGGGCTAAGTTCCACTCAGATTGTATGTGACCATCATATCCACCTAATCAATCGGTGACAGTGATGGTCTTTTCTTTTGTCTTCAATAGAGCATTAGAGCTTAAGAACCTATGTACTCCACGTAATATCATCTGATCCACATCCCTATAACCTTAAAAGTTAAACTAAATAAAGGGAAAGTTTGCTTTGCTCTGTTTTTATCATATACAAATTGAGTTTATGTGACAAAATGTCACTATCAGCCATATATGCTATAACATCATACAATTAATTATGCATCCCTGTTTGATTTTGTCCATACATCTGATTATGAGTTTTATATGTATGTATATATACTAGGCGTAAAATTTACATCGTCCACCAGTCAGAATCAGAATTCCTTATCAGTATGATTTTTATGTTATATCATGAATTAATAACTACATTCTATCTAAAAAATAAATAAAAAATCCCAATTGTGTAAAACATTTTATTCTCATAAATAGGACCAATGTGATATTTATATAAGATTTCTCTTTCTCATTTGGAAGCAAGTCTTTGAGAGACTTTAATTGATTCATAATGTATGTTTTTTCTTTTAGTACTAAAACACTGGTTAAGGAATTTTTAGAAAAATGTATAGATATGTTTTTACTTTTTATTATTTATTCATTAATTATTATGATGATGATGAAAGTGTTGTTAGCATTGATCTTGTGGGATGATGGACACAGGGTGTGAGCCTAGAGCTGTGTGCAAAGGACAGAGTGGGGTTGCTGTCTGAGGTGACAAGGATCCTACGAGAGAATGGCTTAACAGTGAGTAGGGCAGGTGTGTCAACCGTAGGGGAGAAAGGGCTGAATGTGTTCTACGTGAGGGATGATGCATCAGGGAACCCTGTGGACATGAAGATCATCGAAGCACTACGCAAGGAAATTGGACAGACAGTGATGGTCAATGTGAAGAGGGTACCAGGCAGTGCCAAAGCACCACCTCAAACCCGAGGGTGGGCCAAAACAAGCTTCTTCTTTGGCAACTTGTTTGAAAGGTTCTTGACTTGATCATCATCACACTTCAGAATTAATCATGCATCTTCTCGCATTCTAGTTGAAGGACACGTCAAAGTGTATAGATAAGAATAAGGTTGTTGCGTGTCAGACTTGTGTAGGGCTTGAACTTTGTCCCTTTCTTTCAAACCAATGCTTATATAAGTTGTAACTTATATTTTGTCTTCCCTTATCCTTTTTTTTTTAAAACTCATATTTTCTGGAACTTAGTTTTAATCTCGAGTTGTATGCGTGTGTTTGAACCAACGCTCATTCCTTCAAGTGAAACTAAGGGGGTGTATTGGTTTAGGATTTCATAGGATTTTAAAAGACTTTTTTTGAGTAAAAAAGTCCATTGGTATTCAATCAGGATTTTATGTCACTTAAAAACAATCCAGTGGTATTCAATCTGGATTTTCAAGATTTTTTAAAGAGTCCATTAAAATCCACTGGTATTCGTTTGAGATTTTTTACAACTTAAAAATAATCCATTGGTATTCAAAAATATAAGGATTTTAAAGGATTGTTGTGTGAGAGGGATTTTGAAGGACTTTCTAGTGTTATCTATAAATACCAGAATCATAAAACAATCCCATCCAAACCCAACGGATTTTGAAGGATTGTTTGAAGTGATTTTTCAAGTGTTTCAATAATTTTCAAGTGAGTTTTTCATCTTTTTTTTTCTATGCTCCTGTCTTCTCTATTTTTTCTCTACTAATAATATTATACTATTATTCATTGCTCATATATAATATTGCAGTACCGCTCTCATCCCATTCTCCTATTTTGTGAAACTCTGATATGTAAATGATAGTGTCATTGAGTTGCTCTATTTTTCTGTTTGTTCTCTTTAATTGACTTGCTTTATTTTATTTTATGTAGTTGAATTTGTTCCTTTATATAACAAAAAAAAA